GCCAACTATATTGTTTTAAGTGGTGTGCAGTCAACTTTAACGGGCTTATAAAAAGGAAGAAAAGTTTTTAAGCTATTGCATAGCTTCTATCGCGGGCCTTGAGCGTGGGGACCGAATCCAGAAATTCATTCCGTAACGAAAAAACCTCACGCTCCCCACTCCGACGGGCACGGAGGTGTGGCTTGAAGGCCGTGCATTGTCTAACGTCGTTTATGTGCGGACGAATTTATTTTATTTTAGACGACGGCTCCGTGGCGCAGTGGCTTAGCAATGAGAGCCAGGAGTCGCGGGTTTGAATCCCGCACGGAACAAGTATTTGTACATCCTACAAATATTTTTTTCTGGTCTGGATGTGTGTCCTTATGCAATTTATGTTTGTCAGTTGCCTCCGCGATACAGGAGAAAATCCAAGTGTGGGGGGTAACGTTTTTATAAAATAATTATAAAAGAGTAGTGAATATTAATGGGCTGTAAATAGATATACGATTAGCTTTATTTATTCTTTACATGAATCAGAAACTGGAATAAATACCATTAATTAGAACTAAACTTATTTTAAAGTTAAAGGAGTTATAATCGATAAGTCTAAGTTTTAAAATTGGGTTTTGTTTTTAAAGCTTAGCAAAACATGTACTTGCTTTTCTATCGGACATTTGATGTATATAAAAAACACCTTATAATTTATTGGTAATTTAATTATTTTTTGAAAACAGTAGCAATAAATATAATTAACACTGACTTAATAATAGGTACTAATTATAACTTAGAACATAAATGAAAAACTTTTGCCATGCTTTGCGGATTTCTTTGGAGGAAGATGTTCAGTAGTGGACTTGTGAAGAGCTGTAATGATGATGATGATTCGAAAACTTGCACGATTAAATTATAAGAAATTGACGCTTTTTTATATAGGATAGGTTGACAAACGAGCACACAGTTCACCTGATGGTAAGTGGTTGCTGCGGCCCATAGACATCTACATCTATCCTCGATTACGAATCAAAATGCAGATGCGTTGTCACCAGGAAGGACTAAGATGAAATGCCTCGTTTCATTTAAAAAGTGTCTCTGGTTCTCTACACTAACTATACGAAACACATAATCATTAAGCTACTATTTTACATTGATGTCTGTGGTCCTTCCCCGGTCGAACCGACCCATTCGTGCTACAACTATACTTCTAATATAACTGCATGGTTCTACCACGTATAAACGACGTGCTTCATTTTTTTTTTCATTTTAAAATTGTTCTCGTAATAATCTGATTGTAAATAAATGTTCATTATTTTTTTTATAAATAGCTTATCGATTAAAACAAATGTTTAAAAATAATTTAATCGTGCTAATTAAAGTAGTAGGAATGTTAAAATTGGCACTAAAAGGCTGGTAATTGGGCCATCTACCCTACAAAGCGTGAATATAAAATTTTAATCAGATGCGTGTAATCACTCTGGGAGCTTGTAATAATCTTTTGATCTTTTATAAAAAACCGACACCACATGGATCTCGCGCCAACTTGCGGGCCATCGTTCCAATACATACCAATGAAGCCCAAACACCCCGTCTACACGTTGGCCAATGCTATTGGCCACTACATTCGCCACTGTGTTGGCCAACGTGTAGAGGCGCCGTAACGTCGTTTCAGTTTGGCAGACTTCGGTTCGGTGTTTGTTTGCGTGCGACTAGACGTATGCGTGTAGCATAGCTGCTGTAACTTGAATTAATATCAAAGAAAAAAACAAATAAATAAATACTACATAAATAAATATTTATAATTGCATAAGTTGACAAAAATATTATGCAATAGCTTTACCGCGGCAGTCCCCAAGTGCCACACGTATTTTTTTTCTTTTCCGTATGAATTAAGGAATAGAGAAAGATCTATTGTAAAATCTAGACAGATGTTGAGACATTGGAAGTAAAAGTTTTCCTTGAACCGAAGGTAAAAGGACAATAGTGAACTCCAAACAAATTTTATGTGACTTTTTTTTCTTGCGTCGACAAATACAAAATATGTAAAATATAGAGTTTAAAATCCTGAACATTTTCTTAGTCATATTACTGCAGAAAATCAGAAATTAAAGATATTCCAGTTTAAACAAAATACACATCAGACTAAGATCTATATTACTACACTATCTAGACTACTGTAAGATATAAAAGGCCTTAATTGGCAGATCGTTACAACAACAACTAGTCAATATAATTTTCATATATGTTTATATAGGGTAAATACTAGCATAGACGGAATCCTTAACGAACGCATTAGTATATATAGAAGAGTTTTCTGAATAAAATATACGTCAACTCAGCTGTATGGTATAAGACCTTTGCCTGTCATCACTGACGAATCGCAACAACTGCAACAACTAGTCAATTAAGTTTTGAACCATGGAGGTTAGAGAAAAGGAGAACGATCGCTGTAGAAAATAGTGTCCCAGAAATATGGACAAAAAAAAGTGAGGCGCTGCGATCGCCAAATGGTCTCAATAAAAAAGGGCTGTTGTGCGCTAGCTTGAAATGATTATAATATCATTCAAATAAAAAAGAAAATAACGAAACTATTATTTATTATTATTATTTATTAATTAATAAATTATAGATTATGTTTTTTTTATAATTTTAATTACTAAAAATATTATGAATTATTACAAATATAAATTATTAATTATTATTGATGTATTATTATCATTTTTATAACATTTCACCCTTTTTTAATGTTGCTTTTTGTCAATAATTAAAAAATTACTTCGCAGATACTACTTACCGACGGCAATGCGGCTATAAATTCTATAAATTTTCAGGGACAAGCGGACTATGCCTTATTACGTAGCGATCGTTCTCCTGTTCTGTAACCATGGAGATTAAAGAGAAGGAGAACGATCGCACTAGAAAATAGTGTCCCAAAATATGGACAAAATAAGTGAGGCGATGCGATCGCTAATTTGTCTCAATAAAGGTCATTTTCAGTCTATTTTTCCGATCAGATGCTAAACCACTTGCACATCCACGCACAATACAATATTCATCATTTTTTAATGTTTCTTTTTGACAAAAATTAAAAAATTACAGAGCACGATTATTTTCTCACCAATGCTGCGAAGAAAATTTGTACATTATTCAATTCACTTCATCTTCTTGTACTCATTAACAGCTAACTTGGCAAATACTACTTACCGACGGCAGTTCAGGGACTATGGCGGGCTATGCTTTAGCACGTAGCGATCGTTCTCATTTTCTCTAACCTCCATGTTTTGAACTGTGTAGGATGTTTTTTTCGTGAATTCGATAGGCCATAAGCTTGATTAGATAATGCATAGTAAATTATTTTATTGATATCTGTAATGGTGACATAAGTAGGAGCTTAATAATTCCATAAATAATTTGCCATAACAACTAGTCAATTTATTTTTAAATTAAGTAAGAAGATTTTTTCCAGATTTCGATAGGCCATAAGCTTGATTAATTAACACAAATTAAATTATTTTATTAATATCTGTATTGATAACTTAAGTAGACGCTTAATAATCACATCACATATTATTTCGCCACTGTCCTTTGCGGAGTTGAGAAATTTAAAACATTCTTCTACATGGACAGGATATGATATATTAAAGAAGACGAAGTAGAAAGCAGAAATAATGCGAATATTCTGACGAAAACAGCTTCGGAGCTCCTTGAGTTTTATTGACTGTTTTAATGTTATAATATACGTCACCGATCGTACGAGGGTACTACTTATTCCGAAATATATTAAAATACTTTACTGTACTCCTATGTAGGATGCATTAAAATGAATGAAAGGGTTTAATGAGTAATATATAATACATCAATTTAGAAAATTGTAAATAAATATAAGTAACTAAAACTTTACTAAAAGTACTTGGAAGAGATTTGTTTTAAGTACCATAACTCAGATCATCCCAACAAATATATGCTGAAGTGAAAATAATAATCATCCAACGTAAGTATAAATTTCTAGAATGGCCCAACATTCTTCAACTTAACGTATTTGCTGGAATAAACGAATTCTTTTTTCTCCGTAAATCAAAACCCCTAGCACTTTCAATAAACAATGCTTGTCTCAGTTTCTAAAATAAAACCGTTGTAATATGGTACTTATTACGTTGCGTGAAGGGTGTTACCAAAATTACTAAATATAATTATTGATTTGCGTGAATATAAACAATTTATCCTAGTGATAAATATTGTTTTTATATCGCTTAAGACCGATTTACACTTCGATAAGTACAGTAGCGAGTTAACTTGCGAACATGGCGAGTTAAGTTTGAACCTCGTTTGAACGGCAATAAGCGAGTTAAGTAGCAAGTTAGGCTACGGTCTCCTATTAAACGCTATACGCGACGTCCGACTTCAGCGTAAACGTTCCGATCGGCGTCTGAACGCCAGGCACAGCGTCAGCGGTCAATACATATTAGCAACGGACGACGTCAAACAACAGTAAGTAGCCGACAGTGCTCACGTGTGGTTGTGTGTGATATTTGTTCATAAAATGGATATAAATTCAACACTTTTGGCGGCGCTTGTGTTACTTGATGAAGAGGCACAAGACGACCGTATACGAAGAAAAATAAAGGCAACAAGGCACCGACTATTTATGAAGAGAAATGAGGAAGGATGTTTCCAGCTATTGATAATGAAACACTTAAAAGACAGCGATTCTAAATTTACTGAATATTTTCGTATTAATCAAGAACAATTTAAATATATTGTAGAGCTTGTGCAGGAGTATGTAATAAAAGTGCCATCAAAAAGGTATCCTAAGCCCATATCGGTTGAAGAAAAAGTTGCTGTTACACTGAGGTAAAATAATAATCACTTTTTTACATACATAATCTTAATATAATATAATAATAACATAACATCAAAATAAAATATTAATCATTTGGTTGTCTTTCACATGTTAAAATATTCATTACTCCAAGAATCTTCAGGCATAGGAGTCACTGGAGAAGAAAGTCTTATCTCTGTATCCGATACTAACTGACAAACTTTCGCTCTGATGGCGGCTTGTTCACGCGGCGGAAACGTCTCCACCACTTCAGCCATTGACTCAAAAAAATTTTTTTGATCGCTGACTGAGGTTGAACTTGCGATTGATTTTTTGTATTGTTTACTAGTGCCTCAAGTAAATTTAGCCTCTGAATTTCCCTTTTGTCTAGTTTTTCTTGTAATTTAATTGGTTTTCGTTTCTTAGAGGTTGACGGACCTAGCGTAGAATTATCAGTGTTGCCAATATTTTCTTGTGTCGTAGGCCTGTTTTCAGCATATATCTCTTGAGTACAAGTATCATCGCATTCAAAATCAATGCCAGTATTGACCTCTGTATTACGAATACTTGTCTGAGAATCATTTTCACTAATTCCTTCTGAGCGAGAAACACTGAAATTATATAAAATACGTTAGCGAATAGATAGCGTATGTACTAACAAAGAGCTTGTTTTTGAATAATTGTATACTATACCGTCTCTCAGGAGCATCAGACAAAAAGGACATTAGATCCATATATTCCCAAGTGCTATTTATTCTCGCTGAACCTGTGCCGCCCTCTTTCGTTTTTTTTTTTATTGTACTGGTCCCGAAGACTTTTCCACCTCTTTTTACATTCTGAAACTAAGAAGAATATTCATTAAAACATTTTTTAACTTATTTTTCAGGTACCTCGCAACCGGGGGAGTCCATGCGATCACTAGCTTTTCAGTTTCGTATATCGCATAATTATATATCACTGATCATCAAGTCAACTCTAAAAGCAATGTGCAAACATCTTGTTCCTGTATATTTACCAAATATTACAGAAAATATTTTAAAGCAATCAGCGGAAGGATTTCTTTCCAAATGGAATTTTCCATGTTGTGCGGCAATTGATGGTAAACATATCCGAATCAGAAATATTCCTAATTCCGGGTCTTTATACTACAACTACAAGAAATATTTCTCTATTGTTTTGCTGGCTGTTACAGACCCAGACTGCAAATTTTTATGCGTGGACATCGGTTCCTACGGTAAAGAAAGTGATAGCGGAATATTTGTCAAATCGACTATAGGCAAACAAATACTCGATGAAACTTTTCCATTTCCATCAGACATTCAATTACCTGGCACGGATATATTTTTACCCCAATTTATTGTTGGTGATGGTGGATTTCGGTTAATGCCACGTCTCATGAAACCCTATCCATTTACTCAGAGCCAAGAAGATACTCAGAAAAGACAATTTAACTACAGACTGAGCAGAGCTCGACGTACTGTCGAAAGTGCATTTGGCATTTTGGCTAATGTTTTCAGAGTTTTTCATACACCAATACACATGGAACCTAGTACCATAGACTACTTAATTTTGGCGGCATGTTGTTTACATAATATGTTGATAACTATGAAAAATAATCGTGTATCCAGTAATGACTTAACCGACATACCATTGCCATCTGAAAATTTTCGACCTCTCAGGCGAGCGGGGGCGCAGAAATTACGTCAGCAGTAAATATTCGCAATGAACTTATGACATATATATGTTCACCGCAAGGACGGTTGACGTGGCAAAATTACTAAAATAATAAAAAATAATAAATAAAAACTTACCAGGCAATCCAACTACTTCACAAATTTTTTCCCAACATTGGTGTTTATAAACATTATTTTTATGTTCCTTGTCACCTTTATTATATATTGCAATATAACATTTAACTGTCTCAATCAATAACTCGTCTTTTTCTTTATTAAAATTAGCCATTTTGTACTGACGCTACACACGACGTTCACGCTGCAATGGTTCAAAATAACTAGAGACGCAGCGCAAAGCGTCTTACGCCGCCTACGACGTCCATACGCCGACGTCAGCGTGTAAGAGAGACCACAACAGTACATTTCTATAGTAAGCATCGTAACGCGGCGTACGGCGTGACGCTGTGCGGCCTACGGCGTTTATAGGAGACCACCGCCTTAACGATTAAGTTGAACGGGATAGCCGGCCGAGCTATTTTTCGGCGAGTTAAGTTCGAAGTGCTGCCCTCCCGCGCGTCTGCCGCCACCCGCAACTAAACTCGCCGTTCGTGTAAACGAGCGAGTTTAGTTCAGTGCATAAGTTGACAGGACGCAACGTTTGCGCGCCGAAACGTACAATTGTACTTTTATAATTAAACTCGCCACAAAGTTTGTACGATACTGTTTATTGAATATTTATACGTTTTACATTGATTTTTAATAATTAAATGAACGGAAGACATCACGTATAAATTCGTATAGGAGTATTAATATAACGAATGTTTGTGTAATAGTAGAGGTTCAAATTGTAAAATGAAATCTGCTCGAGATGCTGCACTCATGAAAATTCTTAAAAACTTCTTTAAAAACAACCATTAATGCTTCTCTGACTGGATCATTTCATTCTTGAACGAAAACCAGAAAAATTCTGTGGTCTTGAAACGTCATACTTCGACGAACTCTATGAACTAATGTCCCTAACTAAACTCGCCACGAAGACATTGTTTGAACGCTACTGCCCACTTAACTGTTTACTGTCAACTGCCCTGTAACTAAACTCGCTACTGTACTTGTCGAAGTGTAAATCGGTCTTTAGGTATTCAGTAAAAGATGGATTCTAAAGAACAGTTCGTTTTTAAAATGTCAGTTTCCATATCGGTTTTTTTTTATTGTGGGTTTAGCTATAAGACCTTCAGCCAAAAATATAACATTAAACTCTGTAATAAGCCATGTGGTTGCATGAAACCATTACCCTGTATCTACTCGTGGGTGTCATAAAAGGCGACAAAGGGAAATGTAGACGAGAGACTGGAAGCAGCGTCTTCCTTAAATAAAAAAAAATACGTGTGGTACTCGGGGACTGCCGCGGTAAAGCTATTGCATAATATTTTTTGTCAACTTATGCAATTATAATTATTTATTTATGTAGTATTTTTTTATTTATTTTTTTCTTTGATATTAATTCAAGTTACAGCAGCTATTCTACACGCATACGTCTAGTCGCACGCAAACAAACACCGAGCCGAAGTCTGGCGAACTGAAGCGATGTTACGTCGCCTCTACATGTTGGCCAACACAATGACGAATGTAGTGGCCAATAGCATTGGCCGACGTGTAGACGGGGTGTTTGGGCTTCATTGGTACGTATTGGAACGATGGCCCACAAGTTGGCGCGAGATCCATGTGGTGTCGGTTTTTTACAAAAGATCAAAGGATTGTTGGCAGAGTTTAGTCGCCGCGTCCACACGTTGGCCGCGAGTTTAGTTTGCTACAAGCTCCCAGAGTGATTACACGCATCTGATTAAAATTTTATATTCACGCTTTGTAGGGTGGATGGCCCAATTACCAGCCTTTTAGTGCCAATTTCAACTTTAAACATTCCTACTACTTTAATTAGCACGATTCAATTATTTTTAAACATTTGTTTTAATCGATAAGCTATTTATAAAAAAATAATGAACATTTATTTACAATCAGATTATTACGAGAACAATTTTAAAACGAAAAAAAAAATGAAGCACATCGTTTATACGTGGTAGAATCATGCAGTTATATTAGAAGTATAGTTGTAGCACGAATGGGTCGGTTCGACCGGGGAAGGACCACGCTCTCACAGAATATCAATGTAAAATAGTAGCTTAATGATTATGTGTTTCGTATAGTGAGTGTAAAGAACCAGAGACACTTTTTAAATGAAACGAGGCATTTCATCTTAGTCCTTCCTGGTGACAACGCATCTGCATTTTGATTTGTAATCGAGGATAGATGTAGATGTCTATGGGCCACAGCAACCACTTACCATCAGGTGAACTGTGTGCTCGTTTGTCAACCTATCCTATATAAAAAAGCGTCGATTTCTTATAATTTAATCGTGCAAATTTTCGAATCATCATCATCATTACAGCTCTTCACAAGTCCACTACTGAACATCTTCCTCCAAAGAAAGCTGCAAAGCATGGTCCTGAGCCACTTTCCTTGTCATGAGTTTTTCATTTATGTTCTAAGTTATAATTAGTACCTATTATTAAGTCAGTGTTAATTATATTTATTGCTACTGTTTTCAAAAAATAATTAAATTACCAATAAATTATAAGGTGTTTTTTATATACATCAAATGTCTGATAGAAAAGCAAGTACATGTTTTGCTAAACTTTAAAAACAAAACCCAATTTTAAAACATAGACTTATCGATTATAACTCCTTTAACTTTAAAATAAGTTTCATGTAAAGAATAAATAAAGCTAATCGTATATCTATTTACAGCCCATTAATATTCACTACTCTTTTATAATTATTTTATAAAAACGTTACCCCCCACACTTGGATTTTCTCCTGTATCGCGGAGGCAACTGACAAACATAAATTGCATAAGGACACACATCCAGACCAGAAAAAAATATTTGTAGGATGTACAAATACTTGTTCCGTGCGGGATTCAAACCCGCGACTCCTGGCTCTCATTGCTAAGCCACTGCGCCACGGAGCCGTCGTCTAAAATAAAATAAATTCGTCCGCACATAAACGACGTTAGACAATGCACGGCCTTCAAGCCACACCTCCGTGCCCGTCGGAGTGGGGAGCGTGAGGTTTTTTCGTTACGGAATGAATTTCTGGATTCGGTCCCCACGCTCAAGGCCCGCGATAGAAGCTATGCAATAGCTTAAAATTATAAAAATCTCTTGTTGCTAAGGGTTGTTGGAGCTTTTAGTTTCTTTTTACCATTTTTCTCATTAATTCTTTCTACATGACCAAACTACAATAAAAATTACTCAACAAATGTGGACTTTTCAAACATTCTATTTCAGTGCATTTCGGAGAAATATCTATTGTTATTGTTGAATTTATTTCTATAATAACTGTTTAGCCTCACTTCAAGAGGGATGCGGTTTTTAACGGTATCGATGTTTTGTAAATGGCCAGCAGCAAAAGTGTTCAAATTAAAAAAAATAAAACTTACGCATACACTTATTATACAATAAAAATATGTGCGCGGTTTCGCGACAAAAATAACATTATTTTTATTATAAACCATAAAATAGTAATAAATATGCGTAATATAGAATCGTATGCAAGTGAATAGATAATTTATGTTATGTTTTTTGAGTATATGTTATTAAAGAAAAGAATTAACTTAAAACATGTACTACTCTGTTTTATTGAATAGGTAAAAAATGGTATTAGAAATGGCTGCTCATCAGGCCCGTGTCGTCAACATGTCGGTACCATTAGCATAAACACACTAATAACGTTATATCGTTATACCGTTATATTATTTGGTTAATTGGAAATTTCCTATTCTTGGGAAAATATTTGAAAATAATTAAATACCCGAATAGGTACAATAATTTTAAATTTACATTTATAACTAAGAGCCGTGGTAGCTCAGATGGTTAACGCTCGCTGTAAATATAATAGAACGCGAGTAACCCGGGTTCGAGCCCCGCCGGCACCAATGAAATTGGTAATTGCAATTTTAAGTGCTGATTTACCACTTGCTCGGCGGTGAAGGAAAACATCGTGAGGAAACCGGCATGTCTGAGGAATAAGAAAAAAATATTTCGAAGACATGTGAAGTTCGGCAACACGCATTGGAGCAGCGCGGCGGACACTTCCTTGCCCTAAAA